AAGAAAATTTGAGACAAATTTTTTTTTATATTAATAGACTCCCCTTTTAAAGCTGAATTGAATGGTGGTAAGTTTTTAAAATCCAATGTGTAGATCACATAATATTTCAAAAATTTTAACTTTTGAGTATAGATGATCCGCACTGTAGTACTATCAGAAGTATTTTAAAAAAAGAACAAGGTGAAAAAATTGCTCTGGAAGCTTATCTAAGGAAAGAAAATATTACTTATGAAATTTACCAAGATAGTAAACATTAAGAAAAGAAAACAGGATGAGAATGTACAATTACAAAGCAAAAGACCAAAGTCTCTGGGCAAAAAAATCTAATACAAACAAACTTACTGTCTATTTTTATCTTTTTCAGTGAGATTTCTGAAACTAATACTCCAATCATAATTTCCTTTCATGATTGAGCACTGACTGACTCAATTTTTTTCTTTTTTTTTTTTTTTTTGTACTCTAACAACCTATTGTCCATTAAAAAAAAAAGTGGTACACATTCAAAAATGGGAATGATCCTTTTTATTATTGTTGTTGTTGTATTAAAAAAGCTTGCTACTTGTAAACCTGTTAAATCATTAATGTGATAAGATAAAACAGAGATCTGCAAACTCAATTAAAAAATTTGAGAGTTGATACAACTTGAATGGAACAATCAACCCAATTCAATTTGAATATAACCCTAACCCAAATCAATTAATTTATGATTGTCCTATTAAATCAATCCACATATATACATATATTGCACACATACATTATCATGAATAATTTTTCATTACCTGCATACATGCACCATTTAATCATCATTTATTTATTATATTCTAAATTCAAAAATCATTTATTTAATATTGCATACTTGATTGGTTTAATGAAATAATAACCAGGAAGCAGTATCCTTCTCCACTGTAAAAATCGAAAATGCTGAAGTGAATAGACCAAAAAGAACAATCAAATTCCCTAATAAAGAGCCTACTCAAATCACTCAACCATCTATCTCATTGTAAAAAAACCCAAGAAAAATAGTGATCTCAAATTCTGTCATTCAGTATATCCGAAATTGAAAATAGTGGCAACACTTTGCATATGCTTGTACATTCTATGAGCCAGTTTGAAGCTGAGAAATTAGGCATTCTTTAATATCCTAATATAATAAAAATCCCATGGATCTTTCCACAATTCATAATAAATTAGAAAAAGAAGAATACGTCTCTGCAAAAGAGTTTGAAGCAAACATTCAATTAATGTTTGACAATTGTTGCAAATTCAATACTCTTGGTACTGTTATTTATAACATGGGCACATAGCCAGAAAATGTTTCATTGTCTCTAGTAACTATTAGTATACTGTTATTATTATGCTGATAGTATACTATGCTAACTAGGCTATCCACTCAAATTTCACTTTTGAAAAGTTTGTATTTATTATTATTTGGGGCATGCTGCAACAAAACCAGACAAAGTGAACATTGGTATTACCAGAATTTCAGGGATCAAAATTTAGTCATTTGTAACGTGATTATAATTAACAGTTTTATAATATCCCATTTTCTATCTTGAGTGATATATAGAACTGACCCCATATAAAAATAATAAATAATTAAATAATATTTGTTATTTTTTTTTGTATATTAAAAAGGTGGTGTTGCTTGCTACTCTAATAATGAAATGTTTCAAAGTGAAGACTATGATGACAACTTGGTTGAATTCAATATTGGTGGTAGTGATGAACCTTCAGATATAAGTGGGGAAAATATTTCATGTTTAGATATAAAAAGTTTTATTGATTTAAACCATGATATGTAACAAATAATGAAATATTGACTGAAGAATTTATTGAACATAGTGATCTTAATTTTGATGTTGACACTATTTTAAATAGAGTAGAGAGTTAAAAATTAAATAAATCTTTTGTTAATTTAGAATTATGTATATATATCCAATTTTTTGAAAATAAAAAATAATTAATTTGTTGTTTTGAATTTGGGATTTGGGATTGGGCAATACTTTGGGTGGCAAGTATATACAAAAGTTAAGAATTATATAGATTTCAAACAACAGCACACAATGACTTTGAAACTGCATTGAAAAAAGCAAGGCAGGATGGCAATAATATTATGGTAAAGGTTACATCAATTTAATTATTTACTTCTTATATTTCTTAAGCTAATTAATTAATGAGTGATATTGATATTTATTTTTAAAAAAAACATTTTTGCTAAGAAATAAGCTATTAAATTTCAAGATACTTTCTAAAAATGTGGATTGACTAGATTTTTTGTTGAAAAAAACTTATGATCACTTAAATGAAATACTGGTTTACATAACAATTCATGAAAGACTTTAGCATTCCTTTTTACATGTGACTTATAGAAAAAGATAAATTTAATTTAGTAGGAGGAAATAAACAAAAATAATAGTAAAATGAGATACAAACCTTCCATGACAGAATTTTGTATACAGCCTCAATACACTTGGGGAATGCTTCTACTGTTTTTGGATAACTATATCTGTTAGATCAAATATACAAATTGTATCCTCAAATAAGTAATCTGCTACTGACAATGTTAATTTAAGACCTAAAAAGAGCAAACATCATATTATCAAAAAATCATCATATAAAAAGCATGTTCTTTTGCTTACTTTGAATTGAGTTAATAATTCAATTGTTCTTTGAAAAACACCAAAGTCATGATGACTATGAGGAAGGTAGAAGACACCCAAGAGAATCATTCTGTAGATTCCACTATATTTCAAGTCCATCATGTATAAATTACATTGGTAACCTTAGCAGATGAGAAAGTGTGAATAAGGTAGTTGTATTTATTGCTATTTGGCAAATAAATCCTTGAAAATACTTACCATCTACCAATAGACCACATATTATAACATCTTTTGATATGATTTGATCATTGATCATCAAGTCTATTGCATCTTTTAATTCATTGCCCAGCTTTACCTTATCATCGGACAACCCAATATTTCTGCACTTTGGTGGTTTCACTTCAGTCACAAGTAGGTTTTTATTCATGAATATCATGAATATCATTAAGGGGGTTGCACACTTAAAAACATGAGTTGATCACTTGATTTTAATAGTGTGTGACCCCTTATGATATCCATGAATACAAACCCTAGTCACAAGTAGATTTTCTTTTTTATCACCTACTGAAACAGAAACCACAAAATCAGGTTTACAACCTTTAAGAACAGGATCAAACTTTTTTTTTCGCGATTTAGAAGCAGCCAAAGTATCACTAGACCTAAAAATCCATTAACAATCAATTCGCATAGAATAAAATAGATAAAAAAAAAATATTCACCATTCAGATATAAGAAATTCATCATCAGCAAAAAAAGGGTTAATAGCTGGAGTTAGGTAATCATGGATGAATGTATCTTCATGAGGATTGCTTGGTTTCCACAACATTGACTGTTGTAATCTGTGATAATAATATAATATAAAAAAAATTAGATAGAAAATTTTGGATAAAGAAATAAGACTTACATAGTGCAAGCGTGCAATCCGAGTTTCCTATTTAATAGGATATTTGTAGCTCAACACACAGCCTCTTCGCTGACTTACAGTTGATTCTATTGTTTGACACACAGCCTACTCGCTGACTTATGGTCAAAAATTAATAATATATAACTTTTATCCAAAAGGATAAAAGAATCCCTAGGTTCTGTGTGTAATTATCTCCTAAAGGCATCCCCTTGAGAGGTTTCTCAATAATTAGAATGTTGGCTATTGGCTGGGTACAGCAAAGGTTTACCCTCTGTGGTTTATTAATTATTTAGAGATTATTATTTAAAGGTAAAATATGTTATGTGTTTTTATTAGCGATAATAATATTATTATTACAATGTGTTGGGAAATATTAATTATTAGATCAATAATTAAAAGATTGTTATGAACATGATGATTCTGACTTGGTCTGAAACCAAGTCTTTTTATACCTCTTGGGGTATTACAAATAACATGACTTTTACTCTAGTTTGTCCAATAAACTATGCTTATTAATATAAAATAAATATTTGGGTCAACTGAGCATTACAAATAATAATTAATAATTAAAAGTAAATATTTACATCAGCTGAATAAGTTCTTGAAATATAAATATAGAAATATGAATATGAGTAATTGTACGTGTGATACTGCGCAATGTGTGGCGCAGTATTTTCACAAAATATAATAATAAAAATAAAAATAGAAATGATTCATTTTCACGTTACTTCCGCAGTAATTTGGTTTGGTTGGATCGGCAACGCGGGACCTCTATCGGTCCTTATTTTACTATCTCACAATAGATTCAAAAAACTCCAATATGAAATCTTGTTCTCCATTAATATTAAGTTTATTCTGCCTTCCTGGAGTAAAGTTTTGCAACTTTTATATGTGCCAGCTGCAGTCCTACTCATCTTATTACATTTTAAAATGTCATCATCTGAGAATTGTTGTACAAAGACAAATGCAGCATTTATTACATCAAAATTTTTTTTGATCAAATTCCCATCAAGTACTCCTTGAATTCCAACCTTTGAACCTTCCTCAATCAAAAAGATGTGATTTAGAGATCTGTAAATACCACAGAAAGAATAAATAAGTATAATATTAGGATAAAACAAATTGAGAAAACCAATGGTGAGTACAGGACTTCTGAAGCATTTGTCATTTTGTCATCTTCAGCTTTCTGAATACACAATTGTTGATAATTCATCAGTATAAGAGATAAATTTATATCATCAACCATCCACTGTGCAGATGTTGATGTCAGATTAGGTCATTTAAAGTTTTCCATATTAAATCAAACTGAAATAAAAATTATCTACATTGTTTGCATTCTCATCTAGTATACATTCTTTATTACCCAGACCAACAAACCATTCGTTTTGGTATTTTTTCCTAGTTCTTACATAGCTATCATCACTATCAGAACTTGAAGATTGGAGATATGTGGGGTTGGTTGAGAATTCTCTAAGAAATAAATACAAAAAGTCAAAATTTCAATTTAGTAACTAGAATAATGACAAGTGGCAATAACCACCATCATTCTTTTTATAAACACTTACTCTTTTGCCTCTTCAATATTTTTCCCTTTTCTTCTTTTTTCTGCTTTTATTTGATCTTTATTTGCCATTTTTTCTAAAATTTAAATTGTTATTATTTTTTTTGTTGACATGATTGATTTTCTTTTTTTGGAAAAAACAATTTATTTTTTACAGAGTCCATCATACCACCAAACAACATTCATGTTTGTCATCTCAGTTGGTTCTAAAGAAAGGGAGTCATTTATAGGTACACCCTTTTTTTTATATGGAGCAGAACTTGTGTATCTTTTGGGTAATTACAAGATTCTCATCATGATAACAAATGAATGATTGGTATTGTTTTGCTTTTTCATAATTATTATTAATATTAAATAATATATAAGATGTCAAAGCAACACACTGTTGCAGAAGAAACAATTCGATATGTAATGTTTGATCATCAGAAAATTTACAGAGTCAAGGCGCACACATTACCTTGAACACTTACAGTCATTCTTGCACATTCCTCATGTACACAAGGCTAATCTGACTTGAGGACCTAAAGATACAATGATGCAATTAATTCCAGAAGGCGTGAGTCTGGAGTTTATCAAAAAATTGTATCATTACCAAGGATACTTTGTTAACCCTACCTAATCTTTTCTTGCAACACCTGGCCAGAGAAGGCTGCTGACATGCTGGCCAAAAAGTCCTTGCAACAATCCTACTTCTGGGTACTCTGCAACCAAAAGGTTGTAACTCTGGGTGTTGCAGCAACCTGGGTTGAAGTATCAACATTTTCTTTTTGAAGCATCTAACCTTGGTATGGTCAAAGCTCAGGAAATTGCTAATGGACCTTTTTCTGAATTCAATTTATTCAATTTGTTGAAAACCAAGAAAGCAGATATTTTTGAAGAAATTAAATCTTTATCTATTCTAGTGTTAACACCACATCCTTTGGATTACAAAAGACAAGAGTATCTTTATCATAATATTCACCCATTTGTGAAAGATGAATACAAAGATATTACTTGTCCAAGACCATTCTATACTGACAACAAATAAAATATTAATCTTTTGACAAATATTGTTAGCTTTTTCCACTTTTAAAATAAAATAAAAAATACTAAAATAATTCATATACTTAACATACCCTCATAAAAAGGATACAAGTATATATTAAAAAAATAAATAAAAAAAGGAACAAGAAAATCATGACAAACATCCTAAAAGAACAACAACAAGCAAACAAAGAACTATTAAATGAAATCAAAACATTAAAAAAGCAATTAGCTGATAAAAATCAAGAATTTAAACAGTTGAATAATGAAGAAATCAGATGGTGAAATAGCCACTGTTTTAAAAGAATCTCATTACACTGACAATCCTGATGTAGATGTAGTTGGTGAAATTATGAGAGTTTATTGTGACCAGGAAAAGTGGTCTAGTTTTTGTAATATGTTTCTTACTGAACAAGTTTGTAGACATGTAATTCTTAATACTTATCAATATTTTCCTTATTATAAGCAAACAATAAAACTTTACCAAGTAAGAGATAAGGCTAAAAGAGATATTTTTATTAACCTTATCAAATTAAACTCTGAGGAAAGCAAAGAGTTATTTAGAAAGTGTTTAAGAGAAGGCAAAATAGAAGATAATTTAACCCTAAACAGAATATTAGAAAGAGGATATGAAGGATGAGATTCAATCAAACAAAGTTGTTATGATTATTATGACCTTAGAAATCTTTCTCTGTATGAGTTAATCAGTGGTCGGAACGAATTAACTTTTAAAGCTAAGGTAAATTTTGATAAAGTGACTAAACAAAATCAAGAATATAAAGAGAAAATTAAGGCATTAAAAGCAGAACAAGAAAATTTGGAAGCAGAGGGTCCTGCAAATTGATGACCAACAAGGGTATTGATTCAATCATGTGATACTATTGTTTAATAAGTTCACCCCTGAAATTTTACTAAGCAAAAAAAAAAAGAATGGAGCAAAAAAACAATTCAATGCCTGAAATGAATGACATTCAAACTTTCGCCAATGATTCTATAATAGATAATTTATTTGATACAAATAACAATCTAGACAATACTATTACCCAGGAGTCACATTATTTTCATAACTTGGAAACCGGTATACCTGACATGGATCATAATTATTTATCACAACTTTTACATGCTGTAATGGAATCAGAATCTAAGAAGAGTGCAGTCGATTTTGTTTCAATGTCAGAGGTTGAAAGAATCCCGGCCTCTGAAATAAATGCTTTCAATGACTTTAGACCCTCTTCAGAATCCAATTTTCAGTCTAATAATACTAATGACAAAGAAGAAGACAAAAGTGTAAGTAGCAATGTTGATGTAATTGATTAAAAAACTTTTTATTGAAAAAATAAATATATATAAATATTTATGTATTTAGTCTGTGAATGAAAGCAAACAAGATTTAAGTTATGGCGATGATGATAATAATTATGATAATCCCAGAAATATATCACCAAGTGTAAAATATGCATCAGTAAGAGCCACTATAACAGCTACAAAATCAGGTTTAAATGAAAATGGCATTAATAAATCAAGAAGACTCTGGGATGAAGAAGAGGTTTCTATTTTTCTTAATCATTTTAAGGAGGATTATGCATTATACCAAAAGAACAGAAAAGAATTTTATGAAAAGATGTCCAGTAAATATTTTACATCAAGATCAAAAGGTGCAATTCAAAATAAACTTAGTCAATTGTTGGACAAATATGAGGAAATTAAAAGCAATTCGGCTAAATATAACTGGAAATGGTACAGAATTATTGATGATATCATTAAAGAAGATTCCAATAATGCTAATGATCAAGATAATAATAATGATAGTGATAGATCATCTGAAATCAATTATTATAATGAAAGACTTAAATCCAAAAGACTTGTGAAAAGCAAAAGTAATAAATCAGCAGATGTTAATTCAGACAATGATGTTAGTGAAGTAGAATCACATGAAGTAATGATTGTTGACCATAAGATAAATAATAATAATTTTATAGAAGCTGGTTATTTTATGGAAGATGATTATGTAAGTGATGGTCATTATGGAACCAGATTTTATAAAAGATTTAAAAGGTTTAATGATAATGCAAATAGTATTATTAATCCTCTTGTCAATGACCAAGAAAACAACAAAATTGATAATGGTGTAGTTGAAAATAGAAATTGTATTGGCAAAAAAAGAAGAATTGGAATTTCTTCTGCATGTATAATTGCAGATGCTATCAAAGAGTCAGTAATGTATAGAGAAAGAATGTGGGAAGAAAATTTGAAATTTGAAAATGAAAACTTGGATAAAGAATATGAAATACAAAAAAACAGAATTGAATTGGAAATACGCCAATTGCAATTTGAGAGACAACAATTAAGACTTGAACATGATAACAAACTTAAAGGATTGGAAGTAAAACTACCTCAATTAAGTCAAAAAAATAATTATTGATTGAAATATTTTCCAAGCATTTAAAAAAAAAATCTGATGTTTTTATTTGTTCCCTCTTCTACTAATCTTCTCTTCTCTATTAATCTTGACGATATTTTCTCCCAATTAATAAAAATCAAATCTTCTCCATCAATCATAATTAATCCTTATTAGTATTTATTAATTTTATTTATGCATACAATTATTGTTTTTTTCAGTGTAGATATAGATGTAGATGTAGATGTAGATATCTTTAGTTTTTATTGAATTAATCTAGGTTTTTTTAATATTATTAATAGTATTATATTAAATAGATTTCTGCCAGTTTTCTTGAATGTTAATGATAGCAGTTTAAAAATTGAAGATCCTCCAAATAAAGGACAATTCCATAAAAATTTTAATTAAATATTGATCAAATTTTTTGTTAAGCTTTAAATCATCAGAGATATGTTTGGAAAAAACTTTTACATTTTGTTAAACAATTTAAAGTATTAGTTATTAATCTATTAACTAATTATTTAGTCCACTTCCTAATTTATTTAAAGTACAAGAATTGTTTAATGATTCATTTAAAATTTAAAATAATTTCAATAAATTTTCAAATGGTGTTTGTTAAAACAAATCACTAATATAGTGTTCCTAACCGAAAATCAAATTTTTTATGAATATTCAAAAATCAATTTATTCAAGGATATTTGAATATATTAATATATATAAATTTTCAAATGGTGTTCGTTAAAACAAGTCACTAATATGTGGAGTTGACACTGTGCAATTATCTTGATGATCCTCAAATGTTTCCCATTTTGAGAATAACCACTTTATAGTTTGGGTAATATCCAATAATAAAAACTTGGCACAACTTGATTTGACAATTGTGGAGAAATAATTTTTTCAATATTGCCTATTAACAATAATGGAAAATACTACATGTGAAAACCAACAATACTACATCTGGGTATGGTAAAGATGTTACTGACATCCATAGGGAGTTGGTCACGGCTGAAGGGGACAAGGCATTATCCAAATGTACAATTTACTGCTGGATTGAGGCATTTGAAGCTGGACAATTAAGCATTGAAGATGTCCCTTGTTCTGGACTAAAAATGTTAGCCGAAATGGTTTTTGAAAAAATCAATTTCGGCAGGCAATTCCGGATTTACAATATTTTCATAATGATGGACATAAAAAAACTACCCAGAATTTTGGCTATTGAGCTAAAGTGTTCAAATAATTTTGAGTATAATTTCGGCAATTAATAAAGTTAATTTCGGCAACTATGAAAAAATATTTCGGCATTTCGGATTCGATGACGATCATTTACTAAGTCCTGAGACATAGCATGCATTTATGGTGTGCATTTATGGAGGGTGCACTTATGGAGGTCTGACTGTATATGATTTTTTATATATTAATATGTGGTCAATTATGTTTGTGTTTATACTAATGTGTAACACCCCAGTGTGGTAAGAGTATTCCTCGCACATTTACCGAAATTGTCACTTTTTTCCGAAGATAGCTTGGGCCGGAAACCTTACTGGGAGTAGCGATTTTAACAACAATAATAACAATAATAATTATGACGATGGTTATAATAATGCGTTTGAGTATGAATATAATAAATGTGAATATTATAATGAGTATCGAAGTAGACACATATACAATATTAGAAGTAAAAGTATAATTGAAAGTGTAAATAAAAATGTAAATAAGGCGTAAATGAAAACATAAAACCGTAAATGAAAGTGTAGATGGAGTTGAGGGTGGAAAATGAAAAGTGACAATTTTGGTAATTCGTCAACAACAACCTATGGAGACGCTTTAATAATAATCATTTAAAAACGTGAAGTAATAACCCTATGGATAAATTTTGTAATAATAATAGTCACCAAAAGAGGTAATTGATTTTTTCATATAGTTTTTATTTTTTTATTTTTAGTTTACTCAAGAAGGTTTTAGACAAAAGTTACTTCTTTGGATAGTAATTGATGACCAACCATTTGTTGTTACTGAAGACCGATCTTTTAGAGAGATGCTGGCTGGTGTATATATCAATATTCTATCACAAGTTACTGTTCATCATGATTTATCAAAAAAAATTAAAGAATTGGTTTGTGAACATTCACAAGTAATTTAAATATAATTTTAATTTTCAAATACTATGCGCAATATTAAATTGAAAATTCTTTAATTAATAATAATATTATTCGTTAAATAAATATGTTTAGGGCTCTTTCATTCACAGTTGATGCATGGACAGTATGAATCAACTTCCATTCCTTGGAATAACTGTGCATTTTATTGATAAAAAATGGAATCTAAAAAACACATTATTAGATTTTTGTATTCCTTAAAGACTATAAAATTTCTACCAAGGTATATTATTTTTATTTATTTTTTTGAAAAAAGCCCTCTCTTTACTGAATTTCAGCTCTTAGCAATTGGGTGTGGCAATGCTTACAACATGTATACCATGCTAATATTTCAAATGCTTTGGCTAGATAAAATATATTTTTTGATCCAGAAAATCAATGTGTGCCTATATAATTAATTTGGTGGCCAAAAAGCTTTAGGAAAACTTTATGCAATTGGACTTGATGATGACGATTACATACTATCAGAGGAAGATACAAGTGAGAGTTTAAATAATGGGGTCTACAAAGTAAGCTATGTTAATATTACATTAGTAATAGGTTTAAAGTTTCAATGTAAATCAATTTAATTTTAATTTAAGATTTTTTATTATTTTAGCTTTGTAAATTAATAATTAAAATTTATGCATCATCATAAAGATGTGAGCTTCTTAAGCAGCAGTGCATATCAAACTATTAGAACTTATACTAGATGTTAAAACTCGCTAGAATTCAACTGAATTAATGTTGGGCAGAGCTCTGGAATTGCAAAAGGTTGTATTTTTATTAAAAAAAAATAATAATTTAAAATTCTTTTAATAATATAGGCACTCTATTGTCACAAAGAGAACTTAAAAAATAAATTCATGTAAGTTGGTAAATAAATAAATAAATTCTTTGAGGTAATAAATATATTATAAAATTGATTTATTTTATTTGTAGCATTTCAAGAAAGGTATGGATTACATATCAGGACGTTTGTATCTTACACTTACATTCAGCATTCTGGTATTTAATTTTTTTTTGATAAAAATAGAAGATGTGATTGATAGTTTAAACACAAAACCAAATATAAAGAATGCAGCAGAAGCAGCTGCAGGAAGGTCAAAGAATATTATCCAACAACTGGTGGTCAAATTTATGTGATCGCCACTAGTGAGTTAAACAATAATTCTATAATACATTACTTTTTCATATTAAATAATTATTTATTTAAAATTCATAATTAAATAGTTAAGGATCCTAGTTTGAAAATGAATTATTATAAAGGCAATGAATGGGAGGGTTTGTATATTTTAGAAGCAAAGAAGGTAACAACTAACATTTGGGAAACAGCTTACAAAAACAAATTTTAAATGAGCAAATTTATGAAGATACCACAGAAGATGATCTTTTTCTGGATATTTTTAAAAAGAACAATTAGAGATAATGATGAATTAAAAACTTATCTTAGAGAACCAGTTGTAAATAGCAAAACAGATGTTCTTTTGTGGTGGAAGATGTCTAAACAAAATAATAATTATATATTTCGTAAATAGATAAATGAAAATCAGGATCCAAGATATTTACCAGGTATTTATGTTGTGCGTGAATTTGAAATCTGTGTCAATTTGAGATTCACTCGCGCGAAACTCGAATTGGCCAATCAGAATTTTGTATCCAAAAACACAATATAAAAATAAAACATTATAATTCGATACATATAGCAAATTGCTTATATATTTTATTGTTGTTTATTAGCTACGAGTGCATCAATAGAATGAATATTCTCTGGAGGAACAGATTTAGTAGTACAACAAAGATACAGTTTAAAAAATAATCTACGTGATTTAAATCAATTAAAGATTAGTTGATAATAAATAATTCTTTGATTGAATTTTATGATATAATTTTTGTAAAAATTTTTATAATATTATTAATGTGTTTAAAAACCTTAAATTTAATTCACATATATATATGTATGTATGTATGTATGTATGTATGTATGGTCAAGTTCAAGCTTTTTGAACAAGCCAAAATGTTAGCTTGAGTTCATTTGAGCTGACACATAAGCCAGCAAGCCAATTTAAAGGAAGCTTGAGTCATAAATGAGAGTTTAATTTTAGTACTGTTTATCTAAATAAAAATTTCTTAAAATAATTTATTTTATTTATCTCTATCTATACTTATGAATATTTATAATAAAAAAAAAATAATAATTTATTGTAAGAAGCAAAAGGCAATAAAAAATACATTTTTCAACAATTAATTTGGTTTAATTTTGGACAATCTCTACGTAATCCAAAAATATCAGAATCCTCAAAACCTCTTCCACAAAACATTGCTAAAGATTTTAAATTTTTTAGTTTTGATATAGCATTTATAATATCCTACAAATGATAAAATTATATACAGTTAATAGATTTTTTCCAAAAAATTAAAAAATATAAAATTTTTAATTACCAAATTATTTTCAACATCAGTAATAAATTTAACATCCAAAGTAAGTTTTTCAATTTTTTGACAATTATTACATATTTCTTGCAAATAATTTAATTTTATTGATTGCATAAATAATGATAATTCTTTTAGTTCAAGAAATTCCTTTAAACCACTACCAAGAATATTTGAACAAATATTTAAATTTAATTTATTAATTGATTTTTCTCTTTTGATTCTAATATCACCAAATAAAGAAATAACTTCATCTGTTAATTCATTGATTCTTTTAAAATAAAGTTCTTGGATGTTTATTGTATTTTTTGCCAAAACTATTAATGAACTTTCTCTAATGTTAAGTTTTTCTAAAGTAAGCCTATTTAAATTTTTTGCAAAAGAAATTTCTGATAATGATAAAATTCCAATATCTGTTATTAAGCTACAATCGCATATATGTAATTCAATTAAGTATTTACAATATATTGAAATTACTTTCATGCTTTCATCTGTTATGTTATCACATTTTAATTTTAATCTTTTGATTAACCTACAAGATTTAATTAATTCAACCAATCCAATATCTGTAATAAATTTACTATCTAAATTAATTTCTTCTAATCTTAGACAATAATCTTTAATTGATTTTAATGTTTCATCTGTTCCACTGTAATTATATAATGAAATTGTTCTTAAATTATTCCAATGTTTAATTAAATTATTAAATATCATAGGCTTCTTTTCCAAGTTGTCTTTTACTATTGCAACACAAGTTATTTTTTCTATAAAAGGACAACATTCTGCTATAATATCTGCAAATTCCATATAAAATATATTCCATTCACGTACCATTTCATTATATGGTAATAAAGTTTTTTTTTGTTTTGATAATAATAAAGTTTCTATAAATTTTTTTACATATTCATATTCTTTTAGTTTTGGCGAACGATATAAATAAGTAGATGCTGAATAATTCCATGATGAGTTTACTAATGTGAAATTATATAAATCTTTTTGTTTTTCTATAAAAGAAAATATTTGGGATAAAAGATAATTTTGAGTTAAAGGATGATATACATGCATATTTTTTAAAGAACAAAAAAAAAATTAAATTTGTGTAAAATTATACATTTATCACAAGATCTGCAGGAGACATTTTTACTACTAAAAAAGGAATCGCACATTTATTATAGAAGTTTGCCTAAACTACTAAATTTCGGCAATAGTTTCGGCAAATTAAAAAATTTAGTTTCGGTTTTCAA